CATGGGGAGTGCCACAGGACTGTGGCCATGAGCACCAGATGGCGAGGTGCACATGGTGGCACAGGGCCCAATCCCAGCACACAGGGCCAGGGAATGGCTCAGGTCCCAATCCTGGCATGCAGAACTGCATGGAAGCAGTGTGAAGCTCCAGTCCCAGCATATGGGTCTGGGCAAAGTTAGAGTGGGGTCTTTGGTGACCTGATCTGATCCAAGCACATGAGAGAGAATTCAGCTCACAGGCCTGCGGGGCCAAAAAGTTAAGTGAAACTGGCTTAGTGTGTTGTATGTACTCATGTATTCACTAGAGTGCCTACAAGCCCTCCCTACATAGGACACTACTTAGCTCCTGATCTATCAGGTATTTGGACAGTTATCCCTTGCAAAACTTGGTGGTGATAACTGTGGCTGCTTGCAGACATTTTGGGGGTGGGGAACAAGCAACCCCACCTTCTCCCCCTAAAAGCCATGCTTGACTTTAAACGTGGTGTGCTCCTGCACTGAGCCCAACACATGTCCAAAAGAAGCAATATGTTAGTTTGACCCAGCTCTGCAGCATCTGTATAGATCTGGTGCTTCTGTGGGGCTTTTTTGGCACTTTTATTTAATAACTGATTGAATCAGCTTTAGCTAAAAGCACCAAAAAGCCCCACGGAAGTGCCCGATCTATACAGATGCTGCAGAGCTGGGTCAAACTAACACCTCCTCTTGCAGTAGTGTGAGTTGTTTTGTATTTTGGGGTTTTTTGGGGGGGGGTTCCCCCACATCTGCAGGCAGCCTGTGTGGAGATCCCTGCAGATGTACAACAGGCACATGAATAGATAAGAAATCGCCCATTCTGATGATTACTAAGTTGATAGCAATTTAGCACTGAAGATAAACATATGCAACCCTTTTTCACTAGCTAAAATTCCTGAAATGAACATTTCAAATGTAGAGCTCACCACAGAAATATTATTCTACTGTATGTTCTAGTAAAACACAAGGGCCTTTTTTTAGCCATTCCACAAAAACGTCAACTTCTTTGCTCAGCAGAGTATGTGGTTTTAAGATGCATTAGGCCTTTTCTCCTGTATATCAGTGTATAACTTTTCACTCACCCAGAGGGGAAAGTACCAGAAAGTGGAGGCAACATCAATAAGTAAAGGGAGTGAAGGAGTTGGCTAAAAGTGGGTTTCCCTAGCTTCAGCACTGTTGCTAAATAGATAGAACCCAAAAAACCACTTGCGGCTTTTGAAGAGATTATTTAGGTTATGGCAAAAGCAACACAAACATATTAAGGATTTTGGCTTTTCTGGGTTAAGTTTTGATTCCACAGGTGGCATTAGTACTATGACTAATAACTTCAGTTGGGCCAGGCAAAGTGCATATTTTAATGCACTTTAAAAGTGGATGGTATCTTTTTAATAAACAGACATCTGCTTATGTCGTTTTTCAGATATGACAATAGCTCGGGGGGGTGTGTGTGTGTGTGTGTGTGTGTGTGTAGTGCCTTTTGATTCCAAAGCACTTAAAAACTTACTTGTGTACTACAAAGCAGGATAAATGTTCTCATCCCTGAAATGCAGTACCTGTTCATCAACACACAGCAAGAGAGTACAACGTTTTAAGATGGGAAGTGATGATAAATGTCATATGCAGATGAAATGAGGGATTTAAGTTGGGCAAAATATTATTATTCAAATTGTTCCTGGTCAGGGCGATGGGGGTGCTGGGGGGTGGGGGGTGGGAAGCAGGGAAGAGGAACTCACTTGCTGCTGTTCACTGCTGAGACCAGCTGGAGCAGCTCTTCAGCCTGCCCCTCAGCTGGGGACAATGAGGACAGTGGAAGCGGTAGTGGTAAGCAGGGGAGGGTGGTGATTGGAAGGAGAGAACATGTGCTGCTGAAGACAGAGGGGAAGGAAGGGGAATGCTGGGAGCCAGGGAATGATGACAGTGGGATTCTCACCTCATTTGGGGACTTAATAAAAATCCCCATCGCTGCTCTGGCAGTATGGTCTGCCTGCCTCAGGGGAGGGGGGGGACTGGGAGCACTCCTGCACTCCTCTTCACAAAATCCTGGATCTTCCCATGGCTTCAGATTATTTCCTTTAATTAAGACAGAGTATTGGAAGTGGTTCATTAATGGTTCAGATGGGCAAGCAACTTAGGTGCTCTCCATAGACATTGTGAAATGGATCCCAGTGTCAGAATGCTTGGGAAGAATCTAGTGCAATACAAAGCTAATTTACTATGTGGCTTTTTTCCATTATTTTATTTCTTCTTTGGTTCTCAGTAAATACTTTTTAGTAGTTTTTTTTCCTAAGCAAATAAGGTAATACTTTGTAATTATAAATAATGGGGGAAGTTTCCATGCTCCTACAATATTTTGTTCCAGAGTCAAAAGCAATGAAGAGTGGTTCCATTAATTAATGATCCACAAAAAAATACAGATTTTTTTGTCACAGAATCATTCCTTATGGAAAGGTGCATTAACACTTTTCCTCCTCCATATGTCGGCATTCATTTCTGTCTTTAGTGCGGTCTTTTCATCTATTTAATAAATGCTCTGGTACATACCTATGGAAAAATATATTCCCTTTTTGTGAGAGTGCACCTGTGAATGCACATCCTGACATTCATTTAAAGAAGAATGGAACTTTTGGGGGGGGGGTTGTATTTATGTTAATTTTCTGAATAAGGCTGTGACTTCAAATTATAGATGCCTTTATTGGTCAATAGACTCTTAACATACCTATTCAGAACTAATTCTTTAAATGATTTTATATTCCAGTGGTAAACTTGGGAAAGTGTCACAGGATGAGCAGAGTCTTGATTACAAAAACTTCTACCCAGTGCTCTGCCAATGTGCTTAAGTTGCCTTGAAGAACCACTTCTTATTTCCCTTTTATTATTTTCTGACCTGTCTTTCACCTATATGTCAGTCCTGTCCCTGTCAAACACTGTCAAATTTTATAAAATGGGAAGTTGTCCACCAAGAGCTGGACTGCAACTGCCGAACTCATTCTTCAGTATCCACTAAATAGTCATTTGGTAAAAAACAACTTTAGGTCAGAAAAAACAACTGAGTCAGAAGTAGAAGAGCATCTTAAACCCCTAGGCCATTCAGTTTTTGTTTTAGAGGCAAGAATGTAACCTTTCCTAATGTATTTTTAATTTTAAACAGCTTTATTTAACAAAGAGCATTATATTGCCATTTAGAAGAGAACTGTGACTGAGTAGTTAAAGAAGAAGCCTAGGGATCTGGGTTCTGGTCTTATTTCTGGCTTGGACTTTACAACTGTGAATGAGTCAGCCTCCCTGGGCTCCATTTTTCTAGGCTGTAAAAACAAGAATGGTAATATCTAGATTATCTTTTGAGAAGTGCTAGGAGGCTTGAATCAAGCTTAGGTGTTTTGGGATTCTTAGCCTTTGTTGTTGTTGTTGTTTTAAGGCATTCAGGTTTTGCTTTACCATGGCAAATAGCCACTGTTATCTGCCTAAAAATTGACTCTGTCCTTTTCCCTCCATGTCAATGTGTACACATGCATACCCCACCTTCACCCCCATTCACAAGATACATTTTATACGTCCTTTTACTTCTCAACCAATAATTTTAAATGATGTACCTGTTGTAGTAATAAAGATATAGGTTATCAACAATATCAAGCCAAAGAAAAAACTGTAGAGGGTATTTAAGCTATGTGGATTTCAATATAATTGTTTCATTAGACTTTGTAAATAAATCAGTGCTTTATCAGAAGATTATATAGTTGAAGGGCATTTATACACATGCTTCAAGAATGGGGGAGGGGTGCTTTAATTAGAGTGGCTCCAAGAGCCGCTCTAATTAAAGTACCTTAAGCATCACGTGTATCAGTGTCCCTGCACTGAAAAATGATGGTGGGGGCACTTTAACTAAAACTCGTTTGATGAGCTTTACTTAAAGCACCCTTACTACTGTTTGTCAGCACGGGGACACTGATGCATGTGACACTGGAGTCTGCTGGAGTGCAGTAATTACCATGCTCCAGTAGACTCGATTCACCGAGTCTGCTCCAATGCACTGTAATTACAGCGTATCAGAGCAGCCTTGCTGCACGTGTATATGTGCCCGAAGTGCTTTGGAAGAGCAACAGGCAAAATCTCACCCTTTACTTTTTTCGGTACCTATGTTGTGAGGAGTGACATAGGACTACAGTCCCCAGGTTTGCCAATCCCTTATCTTCTGTGAACATTAAATTTAATATTTTAAGCTATTTATTCAAAGTTGACTTAACCACTAGAATAGGAAACATCAGACAAATCAGTTGCAAGACATGAAGTATGAGAAAACCAAAACTCTTTGACAAAATATTCCTTGGAGTAAATGTGTTGAATGAAGCCAGTGGGTAAATGATAAGGGCCTTTACGCTCTGGATGTAAGAAAGCAATTTATCAAGAGTACATGAACTCTCAAGTGACCATGAGCCAAGAAGAAACCAAAGTACTTAGGAGGACCCGTTATAACATTGTTTAAAATGCTCAAAAAAGTTTCTTTTGAAACAAACTTGTCTATCTAGATTCTTAGTTTTGTAAACTAGAAAAGAAATCAACTGTAAACCCGGATGTATATAAAAATATGATACCATATGTATTATCATCCCATTCAATATAACAACAAGGGGAAAAATAATTACTAGATATCCTGCATTCCTACCTCCTCCTTTCACCAGCTCTTTAAATTATTAATGTGTTTGATCCCTGGATTCATACAAAAGAGGTAAATTATTGATTTGGATATATTTGCCAAGCAGCTGGTAATTAGCAGTGAATCCATGATTTCACTTTATGATAATGCAGAGCAGTAATTTTTAAAACATTTCAGTGTCTGTTTTTTTCTAGAGATTAAGGCTCAAATTTTCTAAAAATTTGGGCAAATTTCCTACTGTCTCTAGATATACTTTGGTATATTTTTTATTTACTTTTCCCCCCCTCTCTTCCCTCTTCTGTCTCTTCTCTTGTTCTCAACCTCTGTTTCTCAGCTTTGGACAAGCTTAGCACTCAGCATCTGTACCATCCAACCCAGGTGGAGATTGTGCAGTCCAACGTAGTGTTTGACATCAGCAGCTTGATGCTGTACGGTACCCAGGCCGTACCTGTGAGACTGAAGATACTGCTTGATCGACTCTTCAGTGTTCTGAAGCAAGAAGAGGTGCTGCACATCTTGCATGGCTTAGGCTGGACACTTCGTGACTACGTTAGGGGTTACATCCTTCAGGTAGGAAGTGGCTTACAGCATGTAGCAAAAATCTGTTTGCGGACTTTTCTTTTGCATTTAAAGGTTGTAACTAGGAAGCTATTCCTGAAGATGCAGTGACTGTAACTGCAAATCTTTAGGCAAACTATTTTGAGAAGAATTTGAAAAATTGTAGAGATGGCTAAGAGTCATGGTGGCACTGTAAAATTTGCACATTTTACACAGGGCAGAAAAATATAAATTCCTCAATATCCACAATACTTCCTTCTTCATCCTTACACTTATTGTAGGAAATACTTTGAATACTGCAAATACTTAAGGCAACTGACACTTTTAAGGGGCTATCATTTGATTCTATATTCTAAAGTAGGGGCCGGCAATTACTTTGGGCGGAGGGCCACTTACCCAGTTTTGGTAAGCTGTCGAGGGCCTCCTGGGTAGCCCTGCCTGTTGACTGGTGCCCCGCCCCCTGGTCACCATCTTGGGACCAATGTCCCAGGGCCAACACTGGTGGGGCCCAGAGTGGGACACAGGCTGGCAGGGGTCTGTGGAGCCAGGCTGGGCTGCACCAGCAGAGAGAGGGGGGAGTTGGCCTAGCTGCATAGAGCCTCTGCCAGCTGGGACCCCAAACTTCTGCTGCCCTGCTCTGGGCCCCACCAGTGCTGGCCCCGGGACACAGGTGCAAGCCCCGTGCTCCCGCTGGCTCCCATGCCTGATCACTCCCAGTGCCCCCCCAGCCCTGCGGTACAGGCTGGGGTCTGTGTGCACGGGACCCAGGCTGGCAGTAGCAGTGGGTTACAAGCTGGTGCTGAGCATGGGGAAAAATGGTCCCTTCCCTGCCCCATGGCCGGTGCCCCGTGCTGCAGCCACTTGCAGCCCGCATGGGTCTGCCTGTGCCTGCTCAGGACAGCCCTGCGTGGGCTGTGAGCGGCTGCAGCACAGGGCTCCGGCCACAGGGTGGAGGAGGGGCTGCTTTTCCCCCATGCTCAGCACCAGCTTGTTCCCTGCCAGTGAGTGAGGGGCTGGGGCTGTGCGCAGCCCCCCACCTGTACGGCAGGGTTGGGGGGGCACTGGGAGTGAGTGGGCACAGGAGCCAGCAGGAGCATGGGGCCCATACCAGTGTCCCATGGCCAGCACCAGCAGGGCCCAGAGCAGAGCAGCAGGAGCACGAGGTCCCAGCAGGCAGGGGCTCTATGGAGCCGAGCTAGCTCCCCCCTCTCCCCGCTGGTGCAGCCCCAAGGGAGAAGAGCTGAGCTGGCCTGGTCTCAAGGACTGGGGTGATACCTGTGGTCCTCCCCCACCCCCACCTTCTTACCTGAGTTTCCCGCACCAGTGCAGCCACAAGGAGCCACATGGTCCCAAGCCAGAAGCCCCTGCTAGCGAGGGGCTTCCAGCTGGGGTGGGTGGGGCTGAGCAGGCCCTGCTGTTGCAGAAGCCTGCTGGAGCTTCCCATGGGTCCTATTGCCTGCTGGAGCTTCCCATGGGTCTCATCTTTGACAGGAACCAGGGACAGATAAATAATAATTTTTTAGGGGCCCCATGGGCTGGATAGAATGGCCTAGCGGGCCGAATCTGTCCTGTGGGCCGGATCTGTCTCGCAGGCGATATTTTGCCCACCCCTGATCTAAAGTCTAAGGCAGCAGCTTCTCCAATCCTATTTTTCCAGCCTTAACAATATGCACACTTATGTATATATATCTGCATAATGCAGTACATAAAAAGGTATATCCTAGTATAAATTTATGGTGGAATGATGATCTTGAGATTCATATATTGTGTAGTTTGAATAAAAAAGTAAACAAAAATATCAAGATCCATCATTCTGTAAAATCAATATGGCTTGCTATAGTCACAGAGTGTTTCCATGTTTAGATTTTAGTTTTTCAAATGAATAAAAATATGGCATTTCTTAGGTTTCAAAGTGATTCATTATGTTAGCTCTTCAGAAAGGCATTTCAGATCTGCAGCATTGTTACTATAAGGTGCTGAGAGCTACTGTCTTAAGCAAGAGCTGGGAATGCTCAGCCCATTGTAAGATTACATCTATAGTCACATTTTGTATTTGAGGATTACTTGTACTGTGCTGTTGTTTTTACTTTATGTAGGCTCTGATAGTTTACTTGGTATGGTACAGAACATAGGAGTCTTGGTTCCTGCTCCCCATAACTTTGAATGTATTTTTGAAAGTCATTGCCATGGTTCACATCTCTGCAGAGAAAGCGCGTTCTCTTGTATAAAATTATGCAGATGCCGTAATATTTCATGTTTTTTATAAAAATACATTACTTAAAAATACCATATACAGATTGTTACAATAAACATTTCTGAATTGTAAAACAGCCCTAGAAAAAGATTAAGGGGGAAAATGGGCTGTAAGTATATGATGCAATCCTGTTATTTTGATTAAGCTATATGCAATTTGGAAATCCTTCTGGAATTTGTTTTTAAAAGCTTAATGTTATAGCGGTCCAACTGTAACATATAGTCTGTGATTTTTTTTTTTTAGCCTGATTTCAGACATTAGAATTGATCTCTTTTGAAAATATGAATGCTTGCTTGTATCATTGTATTTGCAGTAGTAGCTAATCTATAGCTAGTATTATTGATAGAACCTAGGTATTATTTTAAATGATGATGTGTGTATTTTCTATGACATTTTAGTTTCCTGGATTTTGAATTCTGATTAAAAGGGCTGACAAAATTCTAGTTTCCAGAGGAAACCATATGACAAGTTTCCTGCCTGCTTTGGGGTGTGTGGGGGGAAAAACATTATTAATTTTCCACTACCAGAAAAAATAAAAAATACCGGGTGGGAAATAAGACAGCAAGCCTTGGATGCAATTTGCTATCTGGTACAGAGAAGAAGAGTCACTGATAGTGGTTTTGCTCTTGCAACTACTGCAGAATCAGGCCCCTATTGATTTTTGTTTTTTAATTATCTGTTGGAATGATCTTAAGATATGCAAGAATGGCTTGTAATATAATTATACAGGGGGTTATAAACAGTCAGACTGTGACCTGTGCATTTGAATGGTGTAAAGCCCATAATACACCATTAGGCTAGAGTTCAGTTTATCTGGCTAAAACTCAATTGCATTGTAGCCCTCAAGGCATCAATTTTACCATTATTGCATTCAACAACAGTATATTGAATATTATGTCAGTTAAAGGAGAATAATTATCAAGGCAAGTTAGGGCGTTGTTAAAAACTTACCACATATTGACTTGGTTAGCACTTGGCTGTGGATTGTGTTACTGGGCAAATGAAGACATACTAGTCAAGTCTGTCTGTTAGTTTAGCTCTCTAATTTTGTTTGTGTTGAAGCTGAGAGACAGGGTATATGGCAAAAAAGAGAGACCTCTTTATAAAGCATGCTTCCAGTGAAACCTAAAGGAACGCAATCAGATCTTTGGTATTGAGCTTGAGGTTTTATTTTTGTTTGTGTGTTTTGTTTTTTTTAAATAAATGTATTATTAACTACTTTTTCCTTTTTTGGTGGAGGAAGGTATTGTAAGAGTGCATGCGGTACAATAATCATTGTATAGTATATAGGCTTTTCTATGAAGCTCAACTTCGTAGAAATTAAGTGCCTCACAAATGTATTTTTCAGTTTTTCCATATAGAAAGTTTGGGGAAAATGGGAGCATTATTAGCCTCATACTATTGATAGGAAAACCATGCCAGAAACTGATAAAGGAAATTGTTTAAGATATCAGAAGTTTCAGACACATCCTGCAGCTGACACACAAACTTCTGGGCCCCACGCCTGTAATGTAGCTAAAAGACAATTCTTCCCCCCCACCCCCCATGCAAACTTATTTCTATTCTAACCCTTGGAACTGCTTAGCAAAAACTTTTCATATCCTCTGAATCAAGGGAGCTATTCAGATGTAGCTTATACTGCTAGATATAAAACTGATCTATGTATTAAATTAGAAATCTGAAGAATTGTAGTATATCTTTGCAGGGAGCAGAAGCTGAGAAGCTCTGTCAGCCAAAAGGAGTACACTGAACTGTGTTAAGTACAAGACTTCACCGTCTGCACAGATAGTTCCAGTATTCATATTATGAGGTTGCACCATGGAGACAAAGGAGATAAACTCGGTTTGACACAGGTAGAGATTAGGGTTGGTCATTGCTCCCAGTCATTATCTTACCACTGTCCTGGTTTGGGGTCCTAACGTTCAGCAGCTGTATAGGTCTAAAATAGTTATACCTGAATATTACTAGGTGAAAATGGGAATTTCTGTCCCCTGAAGTTGCTGAAATATCAGAATTCTGTTTTCACCCAGAATAGAAAGTTCTGGAAAAAATGTTGGCAATCAGAATTTTCCCACAGAAAAAAAAAGGCATTTGGAGAATCTGTATTTTCTGTAAGCTAAACGTTTTAAAGGAAAAGCTCCCAACTGGGTCTACTGCAGATCCATTCAAGGAGAAACAGGAGGGGCCCAGGCCAGGTAGTCAGTGACAAGTAGAATGGACAGCAACCTGCAATTTGCTGGGGGCATGTTTGCTCTTGTGAAAGACTTTGTTGTCCATAGTGAATTTTAAAAGTAACTTAAGCTAGTTTTTGTACTTACAAGATGGCTAACTGTGTCATTTAAGCCTTCAGGAGAGAATAACAAGTGAAACTGTTGAGCACACTAGATGGCTCTGGGGATTGATAATGTGATAGAGAGCTTTTCACCTTTAGGTCACCATTCAAATCTAAAAAGAGATCAGTAGTGGTTTAAAGTGATTAACACCTGGCTTCTATTCTCTAGTTCATGAGCAGTGTCGTCCCTTACTTGCTAGTGAAAAGATTTACACATCACCAATGTACTGAATGACAACTTGGTTGAGCATCTCAATAGAGAGTATAAGGAATGCATACTTTTGAAGACAGAGTACTTGGTGATCTTACAGGTGATCCCAGAAAAACTTAGTGTGGTGAAGCTTTCTGGACTGTATATACAGAGGACTGAAGATTCTCTAGGGTGATATTCTTGATATCCATTTCAAGAAAATAATTTACTTTATT